AAACAAAAAAGTAGATAGACGGGCTCGTAGTATAGTCATTAGTACAAACGTTAGTATTGTCTTAGATATATACTCTACCTATACTAGACGAATTGGATGGTATAAAAATAATGGAATATTATCAAAAATTTTAGCAATAATGGTTCCTTTGTTAAGTATGATAGGACTTATTGAAATATACATTGAAGTTAACAATGATATTGATCAATGTAGAAGCTCAGATAATTCACTACAAAGTTGGGGAATAACATGTTTATTATTTGTAAGGTTTATAGTAAATTTATTAAGTTTACCAAATCCTTTATTTCTGAACTAACTTTTTGTTTCAATGCAATATATTATATTATTGCATCTGTTATTGAAGAGTGGATAGGTGCTAATTGTTCACATGATCTCATCATTGGTTTATTCATTATCAATATATTAATATTTTTTATATGTTTATGTAATCATTGTTTAGAACATTTAAACAAAATATCCAAACTAATATCAATATTTAGTGATCATCCTATGTTAGAAAGTTGTGCAGATGATATAGGAATAAATGGGAAAGATATTCTAAGATTGGTTAAAAATCATTCTAATAAAGCTATTTTTTGTAAACTGGCAGATAAGTATCAAATATCAGTAGAAGAATTGAAAAATAGATTAAATCGTCATGAAAAATTGATTCTGTGAATTCTAACTAAATTACATGCTGGATATAGTATCTTGCAATTTTATTTGCAATTCTAGGTTATATACTTGTTTTTAGAGGATTAGTTAATTTTCCAATTTATATACAATAGTTTAGAACTATATTAAATACTGTTTATTTACATAGTATAGCAATATAAATTTTAAATTTTGAAGATTCATAATTTTTATAATTACAATAAAATTTTATATTACATCATAAATTTATTATATGTCGGAGATGATGTTGAAATCGGATGATGCTGAAATTCACGTGATTACATGATGATCTTCTGTATAAACACCTAGAATTACTATCACCGTTGATGTTAGAGTTAGGGTTAGGGTATGGAAGGTTTTTTGGTTTGATTTTACATATATTACATCTAATTTCACTAGGGTAA